TTGCACAGCCGGTGGAGAGGAGGCTCGAAGGAAAAGTCGAGAGAGAAGCAGATTCTGGGCTCGGTGACAGGAGAGCTCGGCTGGAGGCAGGTCCGGGAGCTAAATCACGTTGTCAAAGAGCTGCATGGACCGCATAATGTTCTCATCCTGCAGGGAGGAGGTGGGGAGCGGGTGGGTTGGGCACAGAGCAGCAGGCTGGGCAGCTGCCCCCAAACCTAGCTTTACCCTCATGGCAGCTCTGCCCCGTGGGACAATAGCCCCAGGGATTACAGGCACTTTCCAAGCCCTACTGAGATGCACATCTCTCATCCACACAGGGAGGCATGGATATGGTTCCCAAAGCAGAGCCTCAGCCTTGCCCCTTGGAGCCCTGCCTTCACCCCGTCTCTGCCAGGAGGGTGGCGAGTGGACAGAGGTCCCCAAGCAACAGGGAGGTGGCCCAACCCCAGAGCAGAGCTGCTGGTGGCTTTACCTTCTGGCAGGACTCCAGGAACTCCTCGATTGTCACCACGCCATCTTTGTTTCGGTCCATTTTCTGCAGACAAGCACAGCACAGAGGGCATGGCAGGGACAGCCCCAGCCCCAGGGAGAACCCAGCACCCCCTGCCTGGGACCCACAGGGGCTGGGGACAGCCCACCCCTGCCCCAGCCATCCCCAAGCACCCAGCAGGACCAGGATGGCCTTTTCTCTCCCTCACTCCAGCACAGTCCTGCTTCATCCCCAGTGTGGGGTGTTTTCTCCTGCACCATGCCAGGTTTTGGGCAGCCACTGGCTCCGTGCTGGAGCTCTGCTTCCCCAGGACGTGCTTGGCTCACCTGGAAGAAGTTCTCCACGTGCTCCCGGGGTGCTTCCTCCCGCATGGCCGGGTAGGTGTATTTGCCCATCATGTCGTAGATGGACTTCATGATGTCCAGCATTTCCTGGGAGGAAGGGGGTTGCAGGGTCAACGTGGGGCTCTGCCTCTGTCTAGTCCCCAACCCACACCCTTTTGGTGATGCTCCTGAAGGACCTGTGGGGTGCTCGGGAATGTTCCTGCTAGCTCCGTGCATGGTGTGGGGCCATGTGTGTGTGCACCTGCATGTGTGATGGAGCCCCAAAGCAGCACACCCCTCGTCCGCCCTCCACCCCAGAGACACACTAGTGCCAGGGGACCAGGAGGGACCTATTTGTAAAGCCGAGCTCCATAAATATTGACCCCTCACAGATCTCCTCCAGAGCTCAGCCAACGCCCCCAAGTCCTGCCCTCGTCCCTGCCGGGCACAGACCTGCACTGACCCCAGGGACCAGCCCAGAACCCCCATCCCACCTCTTTGGTGATGCAGCCGTCTTTGTTCAGGTCGTAGAGGTTGAAGGCCCAGTTCAGGCGATCGTCAATGGTGCCCCGCAGGATGATGGACAGCCCAGACACAAAGTCCTGCAAGGATGGACAAGGCAGGCAAACAGGAGTTACAGCCGCAAAGGGTCTCACGGACACAGAGGGCACAGCCTTGCTTGTCCCTCCCGCAGAGGGAGAACTCGGCCCCAAAGCAGATGTGCCCCGGGGCTGGGCTGACAAGGGAAACATTGAGTATCAAAAAGACCCTGGGGAAAACCAATTGCTTGTCCCCAAATATGTACCACACTAGTCCCCTGGGTCATAGTACCCAAGAGGACAATGTGCATCAGGACCCGCTGTTCAGCCAAAGCCTGAACAAGACCCAGCCATGGCTGTGCCTGCCAGTCTGGGTATCCACAAGACACTAGCCAGAAAACACAGAACCCTCCCTCTTTTTGTTGCTTTTCACTGTTTTTCTACTGCCTCTGGGAATTTAATAAACACCACCAGCCCCTGCAAAGCTCTCCATTCATCTGCAACAGCAACACCGCTCAGCCCAGCCTGCAGTACCTGAAGGGACGTGCCCTCCCTGTCCCACTGCCATCCCCTCCTCGGCCACAGCTCACCTCGAAGCTGACAGAACCATCGTGGTCAGTGTCGAAGGCGTTGAAGAGGAAGGTGGCGTACGTGCTGGAGTCTGGGGAGAGGCAGACAGTGTGAGGGGGTGCTGTGTGACCCCCCATCCCCCCACCCCACGATGGCACCCATGTAGGGGATGGGGATGGGCACTCACCTCCCTGTGGGAAGAACTGTGAGTAGATCTGCTTGAAGTTTTCTTCATTGACGATGCCGCTCGGGCACTCCTGCCAGGGCAAGCCACAATGTCATCTCCACATTGCAGAGAGGGGCTGAGCATCCCCCTAAATCCCTGCGGCTCCCTTGCCTCGCCCCCTGGCCCTGTGGTGCCTAGTGAGGTGGCTGGCAAGGCTGTGTGGAACATCTCCCTAGCTTTGTGGGCTGCACCCCTCACTGGATGGGCTCTGCGTCCCAGGCAGCCAGGGAGCTCTCTGCACCCGAGGGATGGAGCACAGGATCAGGCCCCCCCACTGAGCTCCCTGGAGGTGGAATCAGGCTGGAGCCTGATATAAACTTCAACCCCAAGGTCCCGAAAGCCTTCGCAAACCCCAGGCACCACTGGGTGCGAAGCACCCTCTGAGCTGGATGTGGCAGTGGAGGTGGGGCTAGCAAAGCTGGTCGAGGGGTACTCACATTCTTGAAGCCTCGGTACAGGACCTGCAGCTCTTTGCGGGTGAACTTGGTCTGCTCCTGGAGCTGCTCCAGCCCCTCAGGGCGGTGGCAGACGGTGGAGAGCTCAAACTCATCCTCAACGCTGTCTGCAAGGAACCCAGGGGAAGAGAGGGCGGCTGAGGCCGACACTGTCCTGCCTGCCCTGCCATGCCAGAGGGCAGGAGAGGCACCTTGCACAGCACGCTCCATCCAGGGTGACACATTTTGGGGTGCCCTGCTCAGCTGGAGTCAGGTCTATGCCAGCAGAGGACACACAGAGACACCCTGAGGGCAGACAAACGACTGACACTGGGCAACAGCCCCCCCCCAGCCCAGTCTAGGCAGAATGAGGGTGTGAAACCCCTCGCAGTACTGAGACCCCCCCCTGCCTGCCCATGTCCTC